AAACTCGAGTAAAAGCTACCTGTTGGTTCCATTGAACTGTGAAATTACAGATTCACAATTAACAAGTCCCTAATCTCTATTCTTTTTATCATTGATTATGTGTTCTTAGCACTCAACTGTAGCAGAGTTCTTATGATTATGCTTACATCAAAGCTTATGCCTGTCAATCGTAACATCTAGGATGTACTATGAAGGTTTGCTAGTATAGAGCCAATAGCCATTGGGTGCATTGGAACTACCCATGCCAATTAACATAAAGGTCTGGTTTGAATCCGTAGGACCAGAGCAAGTAAGTTATCCCTTTGTGCCTGTTACCTACTATGTCCATGGAAACAGACAAAAGCAAATTTTTTCTGTTTACTTGTAAAGTTATATTGTAGATGTCAAATCCTCCACCAATCATTAACAGGGTATAAAACTTCGGGAGTTGAAAATTAGCCTATAAGATTCAGTAGACAAAATTATATTCTTCAGACAGGAGGGAGCAATAGAATATGATATCACAGTTCACAAGAAAAGAAACAAGTTTATTCTATATTGGTGGTTATTTTCAGCTTAACAATAATCATGTAACCAGTATTACAATAAATTGCCAAGAAAGAAGTGAAACAAAGAAGGGAAGACAAGAAACAAAGTATCCTACCTCCAAACCTTGCCCCGAAGGACATTCAAATTCTTGATTACTGTCCTCTCTTATCGTAGAAGGCTGAAGCCAAGCCGGAAGCCATGCCGCCTCCTGTAATAACATAGGGTACATATATTTCACATACTAAAGCCTATAATCCGCGTATCAGACCTAATTTTCAAAGCGAGAAGAGAGAACCAAACAAAAATACACAATAAACTAGAAAGTATACAAGAAAAAACGGAACCCGCCAATCGTACGGATGCTTTATGTAGATCAATAGTGATTTCTTGATTTATTTGTGTTAATGATGATAAGAGGTTACATGGTTTAACAAGAAGGAAGAGCAGATACCTCAGAGAAGTGAGGAGGATGGAACCCTAGTAAACTCGCCATTTCTGCACTGTGTGAGACCTTGGCGCCAATATTTTCAGGCTCCGAGGAGGTTAGACGGGATGGGAATTTTGACCGGAACTGAAACGGAATTTAATGGAATTTGATCGGTAGAAATGGTTCGATAAAAACCCTAAAAAATTAGTATTTATAGTTAAAGTATTGTTTATTAATATATATTGGGGTTGTTTGTTTACATATTAATAGTTCTATTAAGAGGTAATATATGAATCGTTAAGAAGTAAATTTTGTTTGGCAAAAAAAATTCTCTTGATGGTTTTAAAACCCTCTGAATGATTTTGTATCTTGTATCTCTTTAACCATCAAGAACCCTAATTTCATTGTATATAATTACCAAACAATTATATTTTATTTTGTACTATTATGAAAGTCTTTTAATCATTCTGATCACTTAATCATTCTACAACAAACCATTCAGCAATTGTCAAACAGACATTTACTTAAATTTTAAGATTACAAATAAATTATGTGTAAGTATAATTTATTAAAGCTTAAATTCGTATAATTAACTGCAGATTAACATAATCAAATAAAAAATAAACATCTTATTTTAAATATAAAAATCTAAAATATAATTAGAATAATTATTGACCTAACATTATCATTATCTTTATAAAAATTATATTGTTAAGTCAAAATCATTATTAAACCTAAATTAAATTAAAGAAATTGTAAAAAAAAATTAAATAATTAATTTAACATTAATATACATGTATTTTTTCAAATTTATATGATATTTTCAAATTTATTTTTATTCAAAAGTAAAAACATTGTCTTTCTCAAAACCACATAAGTGGTATTATATCAACAAAGACAAAAAATAAAACGAAAAATTAAAATAAAGATGTATCCCACTGCATTGCACGAATACCTTTCTAGTAATTGTCTAAAAGAATTAGAATACCTGTTTTTGTTTGGACCACCCTCACCTTCAGCCCCGCCTACCTCTCTCGTAATTACCAACATGACATTGTTGTCGTCATTGTAGCTATCATCCAAGCCGACGTTCAGGCTCGTTCCTGACATTTTATAGGCCTGACGAACGTAAAAACAAGGTCCACTTTTTTTTTATAAAATTTAGTTAATTTTAAAAAAGAGTATAGAAATTGTGGTTGATTAATTTTTATAAGTTGGATGAACAAGGAATTGTAAATAATAGGGAAGATTATCAAGATTTTCTGGATAAATAGACAAATGAGGATCAATAAGGACATGGAAGAAAAGATGATCCATTGAGATTCAATAAGAATAAATAATGAATTAAACATATAACATGCAAGCTCAACAAATGGTTGTTTGATTACTTCAATAAAATATTGTGGTGTGGTAGAATTCCAATTGAAGATACATAAGACAAACAATTCTATTTTTCTTCTTATTTTTGCTCAACTAAAAGAAGATGTTGAGATTAAAAGTTTATGGAATATGATATATATAAGAGACATTACTAAATACATCTAGTAGAGAAATTTTATTGATTAATTATTAAACCATGAAACACGTCATAAATTATAAGAACAATAGATTGATTGTCAAAAATGGTAAAATATTTTTTGTAGAAGCAAAAATAGATAACAATAATCAACAAAAACAAATTATAACAACATAATCAAATAGAAATAAATAAAAATATTTAACAAAAATATATAACAATAGCAAGCACATGATCTTGAATTGTTGAAGCATTAAAACAGTCAAGCATATAGAGATAGCAATAGCCAATGTCAATGGACCTTGCTGGAAATAAAAAAAAATAGATAGACAATAAACAATAACATATAATAAATGACCAATTAATTTTTTTTTTCTTCTCCAATGTAATTAGTTGATATATTTTGGGCCATTATTACCTACTAAATTCTTTTTGCCTCTTATTATATACTACATTTTTTGGATTTTTTTAATTTATTAAAAAAATTAGACTACTTATATATATTAAGGGAAAATTTTGGGCCCCTGATATTTTTAGGCCCCGGGCATGCGCCTGTGCCGCCCTCCCCAGGGACGGCCTTGCCTACGCTCATCCACCCTAACATGTCGTTGTAATTACTACTCCCCCCTCCAACCCCGTTATGGTAATGTAAGACCCTAAAAAAAAGATAGTCTAAACCGAAAATATCTAAAGAGAACCAGAATATTAAATAAAAAAAAACAAATTTCACCCAACAAAAGTAGTAGTATAGCGTTTACAATTCCACTACTGAGAAGATAAATAACAACCTACTAATCTAGATTTTTCTAGATTAGAGACGGGTATCTCCAAATTGTCGTAACATAAAAAATGCAACGTTCAAAAGTAACATGACTATAATTACAAAAGAGCCTTTCACGAACTAACGCTCCTCTCAACCTTTTAGAGCCTCACCGTTAAAGGAACCTAAAAAATAATTATAACAAGAAAGAGAGAGGGTTAGGCTTACGCCTAGCGAGTCCAAACAAAAGAGTTTACGTAAACATAAAGAAACATATATAAAAATATACATGCAAATAGTTGACGTAACTTTAAACAGGATTAGAGACAGTAAGACCTGAATAACTCGAAGTAAAACAATAAAACATCTGAAGATGACGGGGGGAGACCCGATTTACCGTTGATTATGACAGACACAAAGTAAGTCATAGATCAACGTTATAGAGCATCACTCACAGGTTTAATACCATCGACATCAACCTAAACCAGTCATGTAGTCGGCCGTGATCTTAAGCTCTTTACCTCGGTAGTTACACAATAATCACAATGCCTATTACCGAGTGAAAGTGAGAGGATGATTTGGTGATTACATAATAATCACAATGTCTATCACCAACTTACACCATCATTCCCACAAATAAAATAAAACGATATACATGCACTATATAAATATAAATAATGACGTAGTATCGTACGATATATATATATATATATATATATATATATATATATAAAATGACTATAAATAATACGTGAGAGTGTCAAGACATCCGAAGATGAAGGGGGAGACCCGATTTACCATTAATTATGACGGAACACAAAATAAGTCATAGATTAACATTATAGAGTATCACTTACCGGTATAAAACCATCGACATCAACCTAAACCAGTCATGTAGTCGGTCGTGATCATAAGCTCTTTATCTCGGAAATTACATAATAATCACAATGCCTATTTCCGAGTGGGAGTGAGAAGGTGATTTGGAATTTTCATAATGATCACAATGCCTAATTACAGCTCACACCACCCTTCACACCAAATACAATGAAACAAACTTCATGCTTTAAAGCCCACTATATTCTAGTAATATACTTAAAYATGGAGCCATAAACATCTTAGTACTCACTTATCAAGAAGATTTCGTGTGCCYAAACTTATTGAAATATCCYCACTCGCCAAAATGGGACACCAAACTAAGAGCATGARGGCTTTAGAGTTAAATGGGTATTTTACCAAGTGATTAAACCATTTATCTAAACTCAATTTATCATTAAAACGAKATCTATCTAGTTCAACCTTTGTCCCAAAATCTTTATTTCGACCAAGAAGTTAGATGTATGAAGTTAAAACATGAGATAAGAAAATTACTTCCTTTCTATAGTATAAAATTCCATTTAAAGATTTAAGTTGAACTCACATGGAGGGTTTAGGAGAAATCCCCAATAATCTTGAACTAAAAGGGGACGGTAAGGAACGAGGAAAAACAGGCAGCAGGCGGGGCTGTTTCTTCCTCTTCCACAGTCGACTGCACAAGGGCTGTTGGTCTTGGCGAGGTGACGAAAGGCACAACAGGCCGTTGTTTGCTGTCGCGGCTGCTGTCCGGCGAGAGTTGCAGTCCTCAAATGAAGATCGGTCTTCGACGGAGGCTTCCGCAGCTGGTGTTTTTGCCTTCTTCCCAAGCGAAGGAGTTGGTTCTTTTCCTTTTTTTTTTTTTATCTTTTCCCCCATCCTTCCTTCCTCTAAAGGCTTCTCTTCCCCCAAAATCAAACCAAAGGTCAAAGACCTTCCTGGAAGGAAAAGAACTTTAGGGAACATAATGATTCAAAAGTACAGAGAGGATAGGACAACCCAAAGGTGGCAGGTACCCCCCCTACACTTTCTTTTTATTCTACTCAATTCCAAGGAAAGCCTATCTTGGAGTTTATCAAAAAAAAAAAGGAAACTTATATTTATACATGCAGAAAGTACAAAATAGAGAAGGTTGAAAAGAATTGGGATGATTAAAGCTCTAAATACGTGGATGAAAACGCGTACCTCACCAACGGGACGAGAACCCTTGATGCGAAAGGCTTAGGGAAAAGGGAAAGATTTACGGGTGTTACAATCCTCCCTACCTTGGATTCAATTTCGTCCCTGAAATTTTAGTTCTCATGAAAAGATGATGGTAACGCCTCTTCAAATCCTCTTCTGCTTCCCATGTTATGTTTGATCCTCAGTGATGTTTCCATTGTACTTTAACCATGACAATTTCTTTCTGTCTCAACACCTTGATCTTCCTTTCCAAGATGGCTTCCGATTCTTCAACACACCAGTTGTTCTCGTCCACATGGATTTTCGAAAGTGGAATAACACTTTCCTCTTCCGTTAAGCACTTACGAAGGTAACACATATGAAATGTGTTATGGATCCCGGCCATTTCTGGCGATAGTTCTAATTTATAAGCTTGAAGTCCCACTCTATCCAAGACTTTAAACGGTCCAAGGAAGCGGGGGCTGAGTTTTCCACGCTTTCCAAAACGGATAACTCCTTTCCAGGGAGATACTTTTAACATGACGCGGTCACCCACTTGGAATTCTATAGGTCGGCTCCTCTTATCAGCATAACTCTTTTGACGATCCTGAGACGCCTTTAAGCGCTCCCGTATACACCTTACCTTATCTGTCGTTTCCTGTACAATCTCGGGATCGGCGAATTGCTTCTCACATGCTTCTAACCAACATACCGGAGTCCTACATTTTTGTCCGTACAAGGCCTCGAAAGGTGCCATCCTTATACTAGAGTGGTAACTATTGTTATAGGCGAATTCTACAAGAGGTAGGTGAGAGTCCCAATACAAGAAATGTTACATAATCTAAAACAAATTCTCCAAAAGCACTCAAAAAATAATGGCTAAATTAAAACTTTAGACC